GCATCTTAACATAAGTAAGATACTCTAGTGTACTGATGACCTTCTCAAGCATCCAGTCCTCAACAAGTACTTGTCCTAAGCATTCTCTTTCTTCGTTTACAGTTGCAATCCACGAGTAATCTAAATCATCGATGTTGTAATATGGAGCAATTTTTTTCTTTTTAACCAACATATGAGTGGTTTCGTTAAAGTTACCACCGGTAGATTCAACTCGAAGTTTCTCAGGCCTTCAGAGGTAAAAATAAAGATGTAACTTACATAATAAATCGAGGACAACGGCGCTTTGGGCATGTAATGTCAAGTTTCCTACAGTAACAGTTTCGTTCACAAACTCACTTATAGACAGGTCGAGGTTGACTGCTAGCATCCTTTACAGGAACTTGAACTCCTTCCCGATACCATTCAGACTTCCAAGAGTTTAAAATTAGTACAAGATTATCTTTCCTTCCGCATTCACTGTCAGCACTAATCATCATTGCAGATAGGGGATGTCTATCAAAAACCTATGCCTGAGTAAAATTTAAAATATTCAGTACCTCTGCAGGAGCGTTTTCATCGCAATCAGGGAATGATGGCTCCCAGTAACGTAATATCCGTCTAACCTCGTCACAACTTCCCATCTCAATAATTTACTGCTACCGCGAACATTCAAAGCACGCGCTCGTGAGATTAAACAGCAAACTATACTTAAGTCATAACACTTGCCTGAAAATAGCTATATAAGTGTGGATTAAACAAGAAATTCGAAATTTCCGTCCATTTACCTAGAGATTGTAACTTTGTGCTCAATAAAAATGACTGGCGAAAATATATGTACCCTTGACCCTGAATCAAGGTCACTAGAATCCCAGTAATTTCAGACTTTAACTGTAAAGATTCACCTTTTTGTGCGAAACTTAAAAAAGTCTACTCTGAGAAAAAGGAGTGGATTTCATAGTCCTATCGGGTTTCTCAAACTGGATTCTAGAATATGTTATCAGATAGTGAGAACAAAAAATATCTGGAGTATGCATATTCATGATGTATAATGCTAACTGTTTCGGACGTATGTGTTTATCATATTCACGTCAAAATCGGGAACGTAAAGTTAAGCTTCCTACATACGAAGAACAAAGGACAAATATCATCCATTCAATCTGCTGTAATTTTAAGTTTTCGGTCTTTTGTAGCGTGGAGTGCTAAGTCATTTCATCAAACGTTCATGTCTTGAGCTGAGTGAAGGAGGCTGGTCACTCAGCTTCACCAGATCAAGAGTGGCTACGTCGTACTACGCATCTATTGAAACAGTTGACAGGCTTAGACCAAGTACGTTCACAAGTGATTTTTCGAAACCTTACGAAGGTTTAAATGGGGCTATTCCCGAACGTAGAGTCCTAACCGACACCAAGTTGTAACATCGTTTAGCAACAGACATGCTGCAACGAATTCAATAGTTCGTCGATCAACTGAGCTTTGGCGAGAGCCTGTTTGACAGCGTTTAAACTTCCCCATCAGGTTCAGGCAGTTGCTGTCTCATTCCGAAATAACGCCATAGATGAATTATCTGAATCTGTCGACCGGATTCTACACATTTCCAGAACTTCATCAAGAAAGCATCAGGAGACAACCTTATTTGCTACATACTGACCATAAAATGTCATATTGTTCTTAATTTCCAAAAGTCACCAACTATTACTGGGAATGAATGATTTGCCCACTTCCGGAACCAAAATGTCTAGTAGCTCCATCTGACATTTTTCGTGTTGTGCTATTTTTCTATATAACTCCTCCTGGTAGTGATCTATTTATTCTTAAGAGTAAACAAAATGTCGGGTTATGGTGTCATTGGATTGTTTAGTTTCTTATATGAATAAGCAAGCACATCCTCTGAGTGTTCATCTTGGACAAAGGCTAAAAATTTGTTATCAACAAAAATATTTAATACAGAAACGGCTGATTTTCTGACAGCTTTAGAGTTATTATCAATATGAAACAACACGAATATTAAAACGTGAAACAAACCCAATGCGACTGTTGGAAATGTACCAATTGGCAATACGAGCTTTACTAATGTTATCTACATTCACATGTGAGAAGTGTTATTCCCCATAACTCTATAACCAATGTGCCTTATAAAAAATCAACCTGAATAACTTACTACAGTGAAAACTGTATCTTCTGTAACAACTTGATTTGTCTGAACTGGCATGCCTTTTGTAACACACAGTTATTTGAGAATAAAATATTTTATTATTCAGTTAGTGCTAACTTTAGTAGTAGTGGGTTCCGGAGGCTTATTTTAAATGCTCATGTGACCAACAATCACATTATAGTTTAGTCATTGTACCAATGCAGGACGGTATTTTAATCCGGTGACTTTGTTATCATAGCTGTGTTAAACGCCTTTTTATGAAATTAATATAATACCTTGATTTACAAACCCAAATATACATAACAACGATGACTGCTATGGGTTTGGTGGAAAATTTTAAATGCGGTTTAAATAATTGTTAGATTCAAATGGCATAGAAATGATATGATGCAACGCATGTACAGGTCAGGTCAATATGTACGCTTATGAGGAATACAACAGTTAAAAAGGACTTGACAGGAAAAAGTTAAAAGTTGAAGGGTGACATATGGAAATATAAATGACAGGTATAATATATAATTCTCATAAATAATTACTGTAATTAGCCAAATGGCTTTCATGGATATGTAGTATTGATAATCGGAACTAGGAAGTGCAAAATTAACGTTCAATCTAGTGGGGTTTGTAGAATTTTGGTCTACTATGATATTAGTACTGTTCTAATAATAGACCTTATTTTAAAATGGTAGATTTGTCATGATGTCACTGCCTTATCTATAAGATCTTACGTGGAAGTTACATCACTGACTACACTGACTCATCGTATCGTGACAACTACCAATATATGATGGAGAACACATTCAGACTGGAGATAGAACAATATATTTAATATAAGTAAAAGATATAAGGTAACGTTCAACAGGGACCACGCCTACAAGGCCGAGCCATGCCATCCGAACCCATTGCACATCAATTTCAGTAAAAGAAGCATAGTTGTATCGAAGTGTTAACAGACAAGTCACACAACTCCGAATTTATTTTAGTGACATTTCAGTCTTTAAAACAACTGTTAACTATAGTTTATCACTCACCATACAATGACATTTTTAAACGGAATATCTCGCTATTTATTGAACTTCTGTTTTCTCAAGCCATTGTCGGTCTATGCCCAATAACCTCAGTGCTTTATAGTCTCTCTATATCCCTAGTGGCTTATTGGAATTCCAGGTGACTGCCTCATAAATTCTAACCACATGGTCATCAATGGCTCTCCAAGTCCAACGTTTAAAATTCTACAAATCGCCTACAACGTTCGTGTATATTGTAGTCAACATACCATTGAACGAGTTGGAGACACCACAGGTATTCGGAGTTTGACAAGGCTTTAACCGGTAATACCTCCTAATATTATTCGTACCCACCAAGTGAAACCAGAAGACAGAAGCGAGGAGGTTCGAAGATATATTTGATTTGCTATCAATCGTCTGATCTAATCTGGCTAGCGACTGCAGGGGTTGATGAGCACGGCGTTCCCACTCGTGATCTGGTGCGGATGCATGATCGAGCGCCTTCAACTAGGTAAGTCCATTAAAACTAATGTGGTCAACATCCAATGTCGAGAACTTACAGAGCTATTTATTTTGGGGATTTATTTACGGCTACAAAAAGAACTGCATGTATGCATGTGTCATGTACATTTATTAATTTTCCTTAAGTTGAATCTGTAGTCAAAATTGTTTCCATATGTATACAGACGGGTAGGGAATGAACTGTAACTCAACTTCGTGACCGTGTAACTGAAGTTTGTACGGTTGACAGAGAAAACCCTTAATTACACTACGAATATGCTTACGTTTGCACTCCTTCTTAATGGAAGGAGTTGTTCAAGTACCCGGACCCAAACCAGATTCTTTCTGAAAAACAGCATAGCCTTAGTGTTACGTCCAAGTGTATGCTGTCTTCCAATATTGATGCATGATACTGTAGATCACCAACGTAGATGATCTATGTCGAAAATGATTGGAGACCTACTCGAATTAGACGGGAATGGTGTGACGAACCAGCTAACGTCGAAGTCACATCTCGTGGTTAGCACCTTACGTAGACTACCCCATTGACGTATCAAGGTACCATAGATGCTTTGAAGACTGTACAACACAGAGGACGTTATTACAGAAATATATTGGTTAAGGTAGATACAAACGAAAGTAAGACCACTGCCTCATGGGCCAGTTCATGGCATACGATTAACTGATGCGCGTTGGTTGTACTTGACCTTGGCAGGGAGCAATGATCTGTTCGACATTTAGTGTTCCAACTGCCGGATGATTTGGCTAGGGCTCAGTGTCATTTCACTGGCCCTACAATAAATAGATCTGTTTTGTAACTTAAGATACCAAATAACAATAGAACCGAACTCCAATTCAAGCACCAAAGTTTAATTGTAAATTACAAATAATCGACTCAAATATTGTTCCAATTATAATTATAACGAATACAGAACGAACCTTCAATTTTTTAGGTTCCCGAAGCAAAAACTACTAAACCAAGAGCAAAAGCTAAACACAAAGTGGAACCAAAGTATCCGAAAAAATAAAAACATTTCTCTCCTAATCACAATTGGTAGATACTGGATTTGTTCAACTTTATTTTCCTATTTTCAAAACGAGCTTTTAGGAGAGGATATAATGGGGAAGTTCTTCAGGTCAATGCCATGACCGAAGCGGAAACAAAGTTATGACCGTTTGACCTACAAGCCCAAGGCTACTTCCATTGACCTTGGTTCACTTGAGGTCAGATTCGGTATTTAATTTGTTGCTCCTATTCTTCTTGTGATGCGTTGATAGATAAAAAAATTTTTATAGGAAGGAATTTTGATCCTTTGTTGTGTTTTTATTTAGATGAGCTACCACTTGCATCATTTAGGCCCATGAAGCAAGTACCCATTACTCAAGATTCATCAGATGAGTTCGAAATAAATAGTGTCAGACCTTCAAACTCATTCAATAAAACTATTCAAGCCCCTTCAGCTGATTGCTCAAAGATTTCGTTTTCTTTGCCTTCTGCGAGCAAATGTGTTCCAGGATCTAGTCCTCCCATACATAAACTCCCGTTTGATGTGATTCTAGAGATTTTCAAGCTTCTTCCAGCATCCGACTTACTGCACAATGTTCCAGCTGTCTGTCAGTTGTGGTATAATGTGTCTTTAACTCCTATTCTTCGCACCCGTCTTGTATTACGACGTCAGATACCAGCCGAATCGATTATCAAAGCTATTTCCAGTCGGCCGATGCTTCGAGTTCTACGATGTCTGGCACTTAAACATGCGGAGTCTGTACTTCCGGATGCTATTAGGCTTTGTCCTTTACTTACATGTCTTAATATAGGGTTTAGCACCTTGAGCGAGCGAGCAACAACTATCCTCGTGAATAATCTTCCACCAACATTACTGCATCTCAATGTTGAAGGTGTAAATACTATAGAGGTAATCAATGAAAAAATTTTTTTACTGTAGTTCAAGCGGTTGGACATTGGGATTCAGGTTTTTAGTAGTGTAGTACCGTTTGGTGTTGACTGAGTATTATTGTTTTGGCGGCTTTTGCATCATCATGAATTAATATTCACAACTAGACATTAGCCAAGTCTTTAACATCTACCCAAGTTCGGGATAATTTTAAGGGAAACCCCCAAAATATGCGTTGCGCATTATTACAGACTAACATTTCATCACCATTGCATTATTAGGCCTTTGAATATTAAATTACAACTAAGAAATATAAATTTTAAACCTAACGTCTACCTATTGCGTGATGGATATGGATTGGCACTAGGGTTCTAGATTCTTATCTGATGGTTTATTAGACTGAATTGATCTTTCTAGGTTCACATGATGACTCCTTCTCCAGTTGTTTTGATGTGTCATCTTTAAGTATGAGCTGACAATAGTAATAAGCAGCCTACTTTTTCAAATTTTTAACTGATAAGTATATTGAGTGTTCACTTTTCAACGAGTTTGTAGGGTTAGTGTTGGGCCTGGAATTGGTGACAGTGTTGTTCTAAAGCAAACTTTTTTATCGAGTAGTATATACATCGTTCTCTTTAGCGAGTTTAATGCTAGTAGTTTTGTTACGAATCCCCTTATTTCTGGTCAGTTGTAAATAAGTCTTAAAGCTTGCTACATGCTCAATGTTTAAGTTGTATTGTCTTAGATTACAATCATATAGACTCTTTCCTGTACTTTAACGATTAGTCGTCATGTATTAATTATGTTAAGGTGGAAATAGCGGTTGATTGAATGCTTTATATATTAGCACGTAAGTTCTGTTCCATTCGTTTTAATTTTTGAAAGTTCAACACGACCAGACTACCAATCCAGATACTCTTTTCACGATGCACTACAAGAGAAAAGATAGAGATATGCAGACAATGGTGCATGCCTAAGAGAGAAAAGGGTGAAAAAATGGATGGAGTCGGGTGAGACATATGGCCTGACACTGGTTGAAATTTAAGAGAGGAGTCTTTCACTATTATCAATGTCGGAATATATCACACAGTCTTCAAACGCAAACTATGTTTATTTGTTGGACCCAAACAAAAATATCCTCATACGCCTACATGGCTTAGATCAATATCCATCTACTCCATGAATGTAGGTGTCTTCACTTAAGTGAAGGTCGTATACGTACAGATAATGATATGTATTGTTCGTTTTTCTTATGTTTGTTTAAAGTCATGACCATGGTCATGTCAGTCATTGATTTTGCTGTCGATATGCATAAAACTGAATTTACGTGAAATAGAACGAGTTTTTAAAAAAAGTATTTAACCACTGAGAACATAATTATCTACATTTAGGTTGCTGTCTGTCAAATTTAATAGAAGCACATCAATTTATAAATTGAATAAATGCACGTCTTCGGTAACAACAATAACTTGGAGTAAGTAGGGAGCTAGGTCCTTCTTGATTTCTTAATCACTGCCCCGCTGAGTACGTAAAACTTCACTGTTCAGGCAATTTGAATTTATTTATGTATATTTGAAAGTTTGGGTATTAGCCTTTCCTTTATAGTAAAAAACTTCTTTGAATAACTTTGGTTATTTTGAAGTCAATCTTATGATGTATTTCTGCTGGTTTCATTGTTATCTCTGATCGACTTCCAAGCTTCCAAACATCGGTACCTTTATGTATCTTTCATACAAACATCTTTCACTATATCTAGAATTTTGGATAGTTTTGCTTCTCTGCCTTCGGTTTCACATCTTAAACTCTCACTTTTGTCGAATCAAAAGAATCATTTGTGCAAAGATAGATCTTCACTTTATGCAATCATTACCTTATTGAATAGAGTGTACTAATTTGTTATCTGAATGTAGCCATAGACATGTTGTAAAAGGAATTACTAATCTTTCAGAAATTAGCATGAATCTAGTACTTAGTTTTATTTGTAGGTCATGAGCACATTATTCCACACACAATTTCTTTCATTATTTTTTTCCTTTAGTTCATCTGACTTTTTAATAATTTTGTTGGCTGTTTCTTTCTGTCATGGATTGATACACTTATAAGTAACTAACATGACGTATCAAGTGCACGTTTTTGTACTAGAATTTGAACCACATTTTATATTAACGCTAGTGATATTACTTAGCTTCTCAAACCGGTCCTATATTACTCCGGGTAGTTGAAAGCGGAAGTTTACGAACCAATCAAATTTTCTTTATGAAATTGACAAAAAGCTGAGACAGTAAATGGAATAAGTTTTCTGTACCATGGTAATATTTGTTCACAGTCCCATGTGTAAAGCGACAGAAATTCGCAGTTCAGGTGGATACTTTGGGTGGTGTTGTGTTCTCTGATCTAGATGGCCTAATTCCAGAGCTTTTATTGTTATTCTAAATAACATCTTTAATCCCTCCTTCATGTAGAAGTGATCTTTTCAGTTGCTCCACAAGTGTTATGCCAGTTAGTTCTGGTGGGTATGCTTGTGATTAGCTGTCTTAATGTGTACTTGTATTCACGTTGGCTGTGTGTCAGCTAACCTCCGACCCTGTAATTGATTAGCCCCGAAATGCCCTGGTACAGCCGAGGATGGGGAGAGTTATCTCTCCCTCTCGAAATGCTTTCACATGGTCACGCGTATACAGTCACTGTCAGGGAAGTCCTACTCACTGCCTTCTCGCGGCAAGGGTGTTGTTTAAGAAATTGAAGGGACGAAAAGCGAATGTCCATCGCTTTAACCGGATTGGTGGATACAGAGGATCCACCTAAGGGAGCTGGAAGACCCCGATTCTAAACCAGTGGTGCACACGGGCTCCAGGATCCTAAGGAAACAAATGGCGTATGAACCTATTGTTTCTCACCGACTACTATGGGACTGCATCTCCTGGCGTTGCTCCACTGCCTTGTGGATCAGACCTTTTATTCGAAGTCTCCGGGCGTGACCCTCTAGGGAAACCACCTGTTTCGGTCTGGGTACCCGGGGAGTATCACAACCCACACACAAATCAATTGACTTGTGTGGCGCATATGTATTCGGTTCCCCTTTGTACCAATATTTGTTTTCAAATTAATAAATAATTGATTACCCCCTTCCGTATGGATTTGTAGGTTGAATCCCATCTAAATTCTTCACGAAAGAGCAGGCTGAAGATGTTGTCCGAAACGGCAACAAAGCTCTGCGACCAAACTATGTCGCTCAAAAAACGACAATATCATCAAGTTTTATGTGTTTGTTTACCTGGTGTTTTTGTAATAGCTTGGATTTTCGTCCTCCATTGTAATAAGTAACTAGTTACGATGAATATAGTACTTATTAAATTGTATTTTATATATCTTATATTTTATTTGTGGAAAATAATTTAGGAATAGGTGTCATTTAACCATATTGTTGTATACTTTACATATTTGTCCTATCATTCATTACTGATAAAAGTTTTATTACTTTTAAATGTTTTAACTTCCTTCAACTTTTTGATATATTTTCTAGATTGATGTCATTACTACTTTAGTACTTAGGTGTCCAAAGTTAGAAGCGCTCAATCTGTCACATTGTGTTTCAGTGTGTGATACATGTGTAAAAGTAATTTCAAGTGGACTACACAATCTACGCCGTCTTAACTTGGATGGTGTTCTTTGGATTACAGACACCGGTGTTTTACATCTGGCCGACAGCGAAGCTGTGCGTAATGGTAACCTTGATGCGATATGGTTGGATGGTTTTGAACTTTCAAATTCCGGATTAAATGAATTCATTATTCGATTGGAATGTGCTACGAAACGGATATTAGACGTTGAAGATCTTGTAAATCCAGAAATTGAACACAATATAATTGGAATTCAACAACTGTGGATTAGCTTTTGTGATCATGTTGAAGATGAAGCAATTAAATCCATAGCTAACCTTTCAAATCTTGTCGCCCTTACATTGCGGAAAACTCACCAAGTCAGTCCTACCGGTTTAAGCTCATTATTTGTCTCCAAAAGTCTAAGTCATTTGGACCATCAATTAAAGTTGAGGTATCTTGAACACTTAGATTTAAGTGAAGCTCCTGGTTTGAATGATTCAGTAGTGATGGACATTTGTAGTTGTTGTGGTAGTCGCCTACGCTTTCTTACCTTAAACTGGTGTTGGGAAGTTACTGATATTGGTGTGAACCAAATAATTGAAGTATGCAGTTCTTTACGTCAGCTAAGCCTTATTGGGAATTCTGTTATTCAAGGAAAAGCATTTGCTGATATCCCATTAAAGGTACCTCATTTAGTGATATTAAATTTGACTCAATGTAATCACGTTGTTGATAATATACTTGAAGATCTTTCACTTAAAATGCCAAACTTATATGTGTTTGACTTCTTTGGTGAACGTGTCGGTGGAGGACTGAATGATATTTGCCACTTTGATATATCTAGAGCATTAGGCAAGGTGCCAATTTGTACAGATTAACTAGTTGTGTCCAAAATCAATTGAATTACTCCAGCTATGTATTCAACACTTTAATAGTTATTATACTGCTTAATTAATCTGTGATATTTACATCTAAGTCCTATCCACACTATCTAACCCGCTTAGTTTTCCTCTTTTTCGCTGATTCGGTGTCATTATAGCATTGTATTTATTGTCAAGATAACGTTTAATTATTAAGCAGATTTTGTCCATTCTTTTATGGAAATCTTGTACATTTTCTTTGTTATTGACAAATTACAACGCATACAAGTCATGAAACTAGTTTGATATGGAGGAATATTTTTACATGTTGTCATGCTGGATAAAAATAAGACTTCTATTTTATGATTGAAATTTATTTGATATTTTTTGCGTGTTTTGAATTTGAAGCTGTATCACATCCACTTTCAATTTTCATTCTTATCTTAATATTCTAAACTGTTCCAAGTTTCTTGTTTAGTAATTATTGCATAATATCTATTTTTGTTAAGAAAAAACCAACAATACACACTGAACATGTGTTTAGCCTGTCCTTAGAGAAGGTAGTTCCATTTTTGTTGTTGATTAAAAGTGCATACGAATAGCAAAAGATATAATTTCATGTTAGTGACTATTTTACATGAAACGATTGCTGAAATGATGGATGAAATACAAAATGACTAATATATTAAGTCATTTAACGTGTGATAGTTAAAAATAGAAACCTCTGATCAATGTCTATACATATCAAATACTGACAGGGTCTTTAATTGTAGCACTGTTCTTGTTCGAAACAAGAGTATTCTTGAGATTGTAATGTGATGTCATTAATCGAACCCTCTTCCAAGTCTATCAAATAGTAAACAGCTGTCATAAAAGAACTCTTAAAAAACACGGTTTCATACAATTAACGTGAAAAACATGCATTATTACCATATTATCGTGCTACATTTTTAATTTTATGTAGCTGCACGGATAGGTTCTTACATTTTTTGCTACCAGACACTAAAGCCCAATTACTGAATTTTGGAACATTATACCTGATAACCCTAGGCTTATAACTTTGATGTCACTAAAAGTAAAATAGTTTTATGATTCCCACATATTGCTGCCTTTTTGTTTTCTGCAGTTTCCTTCACCGTTCTTGTACAAAACAGTGAGAAACGTAGCACTGCGGTAACCTTGTTTTATAAAAATCACAGAATTCGAGTTTTCTCAATATCTAAATAAAAGATTCCATAATTTGATAGATGGTGTATGTATATCGTTTCGACTTGTTATTTAATAAAAAAATGAACAGTGAACAAGCTGAAGCCCATGTAGCATCACTACCGTTGTATAAGTTTTCTCGTAAAGTAGTTACTTGTGGATATATCGCCACTGTAAGAAGGTTATAGAATTCATTAGGGTTTTTCTTATTTATTTTGATAAAATCTCATAAGAGATTTGATTTCTGTTTCTTACCTTTGCGCCATAAATAAAGTCTAACTTTAATATCAGTAATATTTCACCAGAAATTAATTAGTTCTTAGATCATAAATTTTGTGAAGAACTGAGTAAACCTACTAAGCAGTTAATCCGACAAAACAAAAAATAATAAATACATCAACAGTTCATAAAATAAATTTTGTATCAGTGATAAGGGCTAATTTATGCTTGTATTTGTTGTTTGAATGATCAGAATGTCTGAAACACAACTACGTATATTAAATAAGGATTTACGAAGTTCCCAATTATGAAGTGCCTAATGTCATCAATCGTTCAATATCTTTATGAAATTCCATTATAATTAGTTATTATAGAACAGTCAACGAATGTAGGTACGCATGCATAAGTTGCTTCACTATAACCTCGATTTCATTCATAATTCTTACCGTCGGTAAATGAAATTTCTGAACAAACTTAAAAGTAAATAATATGGTAGGATTCTTTAATTTCTCTATATTGGCATTTCAACCCAATAACATGAAAGCATCAGCTTTACCTCTGTTTAACTTTTTCTCGAAATGTTATTGGTTAATTGTTTCCTTATGACTACGAATCGTTTTGTCTACAGGGTTAATTTCAATCAGAAATTTAAAATTTTTTTATTTGTCTTTACTTCTAGAATACTGATACAGGTATACCTCTGTCAAAATCTAATGTATACCGATTGTCAGTCATCAACCACGACCCTCACTATGTAGCTTGATGAGTTCCTAATACATTTTTTATGTAAATGTACCAATAGGTGTTGTTCTGATCTAAAATCATTCCACGTGCCTAAGTATTCATTACTTTATATTAATAGTCTGTTAATTATATTTACTTCTAGGCAATGAATGTGTTATTTAAAAATTTATTTCGATTGGTAGTCCATAAAGTTGTTTTTTGAAGCTTGAATATATATATATACTGCGTATTCGTACTGGTATTATCTTATCACATAATACTTATAATTGTATTGTACACTTAACTGAGATCGTCTGTTTCTAACTAGTAAAATGGTGGCAAATCCCATTTCTCAGTGTCAGTTATATATTTATTCGTAGTAGAGAAAAAAATTGTGTAACTGGAAATTTTAGCATATAAATCTACCAGTCTTATCACTGAGTTATGAATTTATAATTCTGGTAATTTCCAGGAAGTGAAATTACAAATTTCTTCGGTGTTTAAAGCATTTAACTTTTAACTACTAAATCACAGGCTTAAATCCTGCTCCATCTTTATTGGTTAAGGTGACCGAGTAGTATCACTAGCCCTCACACTCAAAGCGTGGTTCATCTCAGTTACCACCTAGTGAATGAGTTTCTGAAAGAAAAGCAAACGATCAACTGGAACATTATTCAGTAGTCTTTTCAAACTTCGGTCTAAGGTCAAGTCAGCATTAAATTACTTGTGTCAAAAAATCCCAGATAAACATGGCTTTATTTTGGATCTAACCTCTCGCTAATCAGTTTTACATGATTACAGGAAAATATAGCTCAACAAATGAGCGGTTTTCGATGTTTTAAAATGTATTTATACTACTTGTAAGTAGTTTAAAGATGATTGAATAATTTCATAGACCTCACAGGTTACTTTCGTTGAAATCACTAATTTGATAAATGATAATGAAAGTACCACAAACTTACCAAAGTAGATATTGTTCGTGAGTATTTCATTGTTTTGTTGATATTCTGAGCTTTTGGAAATAGTTTGATAAACAGGATTTCCGCTTCAGATGTGTCTCTCACATACCTGTCACATTTATGCTGAAATGTTAAGTCAAATAACAAGTAGATGAAACCTAATTTATACTCATGCTCAAAGTAGTTATTAAAGTAATATTGGTTGTTTCATTAAAATCCACCATGATATTACTTTAATAAAAAGGACAACTATGTACAAAGAAAGGAATTACAATAACTTGTTCTAGCAAATAGCTTTGTGCAATTGGTTCCCTTTATGAATTTAAATAAAGCAAGAACAAATATTGGTGCAGAATAGTATGAATTCATATTATTTCGAGGTTTCTCGTCAGCTGCTTACAAACCAAAAATGTGATAGAATTTTTACATTGAGATAGAGTGAAAACAATTGACATAAATGAGTGTAAATAACTGGGTTACAATTATATATATATATATATATATATATATATATATATATATATATATATATATATGCTAGAACAGGTCAGAGGTCAAAAGGAATTAGTTCGGGTTGGGTGGTGTAATAATGGAATTGAATAATCATAAGATAGGTTACGTAATAATAATTAAATAGAATTTGAAAAGTTAAGATAATTTAAGAGGATCAGGTGGTGGTTAATAATAATGTGGTTTAAGAATTATGTAATAGGGGAGGAGTATAAATATTTTAAAATAAACAAAAATAAAAAAAGTTTACCAGGGTAGTGATAAGTTAATTAAAGTCTCTTTTTGAATGCATAAGCCAGGTTTAAGTTTTTTGATTGTAATGGCTTCAGCAAAACGGAGGGTGGTCGTACTTCTTTGTCTATTGATAATTTTGAAAGCCTGTGGAATGTCGATGGTGTGCCCGGTGTCAAGTAGATGTCGAGCTATTGCGCTGTTGAAAGCCTTAGTCCCACACAGCCTCAAGTTTTTTTGGAACATGCTTTGTAAATAATCCTTCCAAAATTTATGTGAACAGATTGGTTTTGTTCAGAACTTAATGGTCTGGTAGATTTATGGTTTTAGCAGACATATTTTTGTTAGTTTAGGGTCTATCTTTTGTGGTGGTATTTATACATACAGCTTGGATTTTTATATACCTACTTCATCCTCAAAAGGGTTCATTCTTAGGAGAACTATTATTATTTATTTCAGTCTTAAAAGTGAGATGCTGTGAGAGATGATGCAAAAATATGTAACGAAAGAGGCAATTTAAAGTCATATCTGAGCTATCCAATCTATATCACTCATCTATATAGTTCACTTTTGAAAATAAAGAAGGGTTTATTTATTTGTTTTTCTTAAGTCCTAGTTACATAGAAAAGTGACAGATTTCAGTAAAGATCTGTCCGTATAAGGTAAACCTGGAGTAGACAAATTACGAATTTTTACTTTTGTACTTAGAAAGTGAACTATCATCTTTAATTCTGCGTAAATAATATCAAGAAAAACAAAATAGGTCCCTAAAACTAAATTTTATGTTATGTGGGAGACTTAATTTCTATCATGAGCGATCTAAATGTTAATAATATGTTCATACTCTAAAATCTAGTAGTGGGAAAAATACTAAGGATCTGTCTGGTCAGATCGTCAGACCCAATTCTTAATTTCATAAACCAGTTACTTCATGGTTCAGCTCTTTGTGAACGACAAACTGTTCTAAGTAGTCTCTTCAGTGTCTGTATACTTGTTCAACTGCCTTTTTGGATTTAGGTCTAGTAAATGTTGATTCAGAAACATTTCTAAACATATTACAAAGGACGTTTTAAGTCCATCGTTTGATATTATTTACGAGATTGAATTCAATATATCAAAAGTCATACCATTGGATTCCTTTACACTAAAAGGTATAATCTATAATCAACTATAGGCCAGACCTATATGTACAGTAACGTGTTTACTCCTGAGATTTTTAAGGATGGTGGTCCAGTATTAGCAGTGAGATTAACTGAGGTCTTAGTTAGAATTTGGGAACTGGACGTAATCCCATCTGACTGGTCTCAATCACTGATTGTGCCAGTCTATAAGAAAAGACAAAAGTCCTATTGTGACAATCACAGAGGAATCAGTTTGACAAATATAGTATCTAAAATATTAGCTTCAATAATACTTCGACGCCTAACCAAAGCTCGTGAAGAACAGACGAGAAAATCAGGCTGGTTTTCGACCTGGACGTGGTTCTATAGATCACATATTCACTCTACATCAGGTTCTAGAACACAGACACACGTTCAGACGCCCCACAATGGTAGTATTTCTTGACCTTAAGGCGGCATTCTACTCTGTTGATCGTAAGGTCCTATGGCAGTGTTTGTCACTGAAAGGAGTACCAAAGAAGTACATTAACCTTGTAAAGGCTCTCTAATCGAACACAACTGGTCGAGTGAAAGCGTATGGCGAACTGTCATCAGAATTGATTACCTCAAGTGGTGTTCGTCAGGGCTGCCCACTCTCTCCATTCTTGTTCAACTTTGTGGTCGACATACTTTTAGAGATAACACTCTCCTCATCTAAATTTCCAGGGGTTGAACTTCTACCGGGAGGTTCACTTGTTGACCTAGAATATGCTGATGACATAGTTTTATTTGGTGAAGACGCTGACAAAATGCAGAGTCTTTTGACCACTCTAAGCAACAATGCAAGCATGTTCGGCATGCGATTCTTCCCCACTCGAAATGTAAAATGTTGCTTCAGGATTGGGTTGCATTGACCCCCGAACTAATGATAGGGAGTGAAGTATTTGAGCGTGTCGATCGCTTCACTTATCTTGGAAGTCTCATCAGCCCTTGTGGTCTAGTGTGTGACGAAATCTCAGCACGGATACAGAAGGCTCGACTATCTTTCGCCAACTTGCGTCATTTATGGCGTAGGCGAGATATCCGTCTATCAACCAAGGGACATGTTTACTGCGCAGCAGTTCATTCCGTCCTACTTTATGGCAGTGAAACGGCCGGTAAGAGTAGAGGATATCCGTAGGTTACTAGTATTCGATCATAGGTGTCCTCGAAACATTGCTCGTATATCCTGGGACCATCGAGTAAGTAACACAGTTGTTAGGAAACGGGTACTAGGTAAGGACGGCAAATCGATTGATGAAGTAGTGAAACTTCATCAGTTGAGATGGCTGGGAAACGTGTTACGTATGCCCATCGACCGACTGCCTCGACGTGCGATGTCCAGTGGTATAGGAGTAGGTTGGAAGAAAGCTAGTGGCGGCCAGACCAAAACATGGCACAAGTTCATGAAGTCACTGACAAGTGGACTGAGTCATGTTGGTAGGTGTAGACTACCTGGTTGGGGACCGCGAGATGACAGCAACCGATGGTTAGAGACCCTGAATGACATGGCTCAAAATCGTTTGCAGTGGTGCAGGTGCATACACTCTTTGTGTTCTCGCAAATTTTGATCTCCTTGTCTCTTTTTTTTCTCTTCCCAAATTTATTTCACTCTATTATACTCTTTAAATAACATATCCAAACACTAATTTTCCCGATTACTGCTTATACTCTTGCTACCTGTACCACTACGGGATTTGAATCGACAACTGCATCTCTGTGCTAAGGTGGTGTGGCAACTCGATCTGATGTACGTACGTACGAAGTTCTACGTTGTTACTGACTGACTTACAGTAACGTCTAATGTGATAGGATTCGTTACCATGACCCTAGTACCTCTTATTTTCACATTTTCTTGCTTCTTCATGTTTAAGACCAATACATTTCTCTTTAATTCATTACACTGAAACAACCTCATCAGAAATTTAAAAAATTCCATTTCATTCTGATCAACTTTGGTTTAGTTCTACTCTCTTCAGTTAAACCATTCTAATTAGCTGTTTTCGACCCTGAATCTCCTACTTTGCTTATATTTTTTGTACAGCTTTACACTATTAACTCGTTTCATGAATTTCATGCATTAGACAAATCAACAGGAATTATAACATAAGTTACTATTTGTATTTAAGTCTACATCTTCCAAGAAAGAAAATGCCACTGTTTCATGTGATAATATTAACGAATGAGATCATAATAATTTA